CCCACAGGGCCGCGGCAGGGCGGGGGGGGGGGCCCGGCGGCCGCGCAGCCCCCTCCCCGCCAGGCAGGCGTAGGCACCCGCGTCCGTGCGCCGGGCACCGGGGAGGACGAGGGAGGCGTCGAGCCCCTCCGCCAGCCACCGCCCGTTCTTGTACCAGGTGTAGACGGTGCCCGGGCGGGCGCCCGTGTCCCGGCAGGGCAGATCGGTCCCCTCGGGCACCTCGGCAGAGGGTCGCACCACCACCCTGACGGCTGGGGAGAGCAGAACGAAGCTGGCCCCTCCGCTCGCCGCAAGGCTTGCCCTTCTCGGCCGTGGCTGGGAAAAGCCTTTCCCGTCTCCGAAGCCACCGTCCCCCTTCAGTGGGGTGCACGCGTGGGGTGGGGTGCCCACCCAAGCGGGCAGCAGCACCTCCCTGCCCTTCCACCAGCCCTGCACTGTTCCTGACCCCCCCCACCCCGATGCTCTGCTGCCCGACGGCAACATTTATTTGGGCCGTACCCCTCAATGCCCATACCAACCCGTTCAGGGGTCCCCAGCCCCTTGTCCCCCCACCCACGGCGAAGCCGGACTCACCCTGCACACGGAGGGGCAGGGATGCACGGGCGCTGCCTAGAGGGCTGCGTGCCTGGCACTCGTACTCGCCCTCGTCCTCCTCGGAGGCGTCCCGGAGCTCCAGCCTCAGTGCGTTGGGAGCGGGGGAGATGTGGCCGCTCTGCCCAGGGTGGTCACCTCCCGCGGGGGGGCTGGAGGCCACCGGCTGCCCCCCCTTGAGCAGGGTGATCTCGGACAGGGGGTTGCTCTCAACAGCGCAGAAGAGGATGACTGCTGTCCCCTCGCCGCTCTCCACGAAGGCCTTCATCTGCAGATTCCTGGGGGGGTCTGCGGGAAGGAAGGAGGTCGGGGAAGAGGCGGACTGTAGGATAAGCAGCGTCTCAGTGAATCGGAGCATCCCCAGCTTGCGATGCTCGGGTCGGGCCGGCTGCTCTCACGGTCTCGGCTGGGCTGTGAGCTGGAGCGGTGATGTTCTGCCGCCAGGCTCCGCTGCCTGCAACACAGCACCTGCTCGGGCAGCACTGCCTCTTTCCTCAGCATCCGTGGTCTCCTTGAATCAAACTGACACTCAAAACACAGCGCAGGGTCATTCGCTGAGCTCATTTCTAACCTGCAGCTCATTTGCGAGTTGGTTGTGGCAGCTCCGGCCACGCCGGCCGGGCGTGGGAGCGTGGCTCGGCGCGTGGCCCGTCACGGCTCGGTGCTCCGCTCACACCCCGGCCTCAGAAAAAAACACCCTTTGCACATCGGTGCATGGCAAACCTCAACAGCGAGGCTTGTGCAAAGGCAGCACGACTGTGGGTGCAACTCGGGCCCATAATGCCAAGATATTTTTAGCAGCATCCGTTCGGCATTCCCCATCCAAAATCAGGAGGAGGGAGAGAAGCAACGGATTTGTTGCCAGGGTCTCGGGCTCTCTGGAGGACATTTCCAGGAGTGCTCCTCCACACCCATTCCTCACAGCAGATTTATAAGTTAAAGCCATCTTTTTCTAATAAAAAAGGAAAAAAAAATCTTACATTCTGACTTGCAACTACACTTTTTTGCACGTCTTTTTTTAAACAAAGTCTGGTTTTCATTTTCCAAATCAGGAAAAAAAAAAAATAATCCTGCAATGTTTCCTGAAAGCCAAAGATTTTTCTGTTTCAGTTTGGTACAAAGCATAAGGACAAACTTGGGGCGCTTGGAGAAGTTTCACTGCAATCTTCTGCAGATGACGTGGGGCTGTTTGGCCAGGTCTGCTTGCCGGGGGTCAGACACAGGACCAGGGTATAAAGCTCGGCTTGGTTAAGACCTGGGACGAAGGCTAATTTTTTTTTGAGACCCCAAAACTAAGGCAGGCCCCGCTACCCCCCACACACCCCCCTCCACACCA